TGCAGTCTCTAGGAATACCTAATAAAATGATTCTCTGGATCTATAACTTTTTAATTAATAGGCAAGTTTATGTTAAGTATAATGGTAAATTATATGGCCCTCGATTTGCTTCGGTTGGTGTATGTCAAGGTGGAATTCTTTCTCCGTTGATATTTATTCTATTTATTCGTCGATTGAATTTAATTTTGGGTTGCAAAGTAAAAAATCTTCAATTTGCTGATGATCTAGTTGTGTATGCTTCTGGAAATAATTTGGTAAATATTAGTAACATTCTTAATAAGTCCTTGGAGGGCTTAAACGCATATTATAAGTTTCTGAATCTGGATATAAATGCTTTTAAATCAAAAGTTGTAGTATTTATCAAAACTGCAAATTTAGTAATCCCTTCAATATATTACAATAGAGAATGTATACTGGTCTCTCATGAAGCTAAGTTTTTGGGGGTGATTTTTACCAATAACTTGTCATGGAAAAAGTATGTAGATTTAATTTGTTTAAGAGGTAATAAAGTTTTCAATATCTTGAAAATACTGTGTACAACATCTTGGGGAGCTGATTATAAAATCTTATTACTTTTGTATAAATCTTTAATGCGTAGTCATTTTGAATATGGTTTTCTGTTATGCTAGCGATAATAAGTTGGTTGATATCTTGGATAAATTACAAAACAAAGGCTTGCGACTCATCACAGGAGCTTTTAAAAGCACTCCTATTAATGTAATGCAGGTAGAGTGTAATCTTTCTCCATTAAAAATAAGATTCTCATACCTAAAAGAAAAATTCCTATTGAAGCTATTAAGTCGATATAATAATCATCTGTTTTTAAACTTGAAAAATGCGCCTCAATCCATGCATCATTCTATCTACATATTGCAAGGTTTCACATTATATCTAAATTTTCTGGAATCTCTAGACATTGCAAATTTCCTGCAATTAACATTATTATTGATCACAAGTTATCCTGTAAAGAAGATGTCTATGTTAAAATTTCTGAATACATTGGTTATAGATTTCTTTATACTGATGGGTCTAAAACTGAAACTGCGGTTTCATTTGCAGTTTTTGATGGGTTGTTAAACTCTGCTGTTGGCTATAAAATAAATTCAAATTTAACTATATTCACTGCTGAGGCTTTGGCTATTCTTTCTGCTTTAAAGCATATAAAACACAAAAATAATGGATGTCAGAAATGGGTTATAGTTAGTGACTCTATGAGTGTTCTAGAAAATCTTAAAAATAATAGATTTAATGCTAACACAAACTCTGTTGATTCATTGATAAAAAGAGTTATGGTCAGATTTAACTTCTGTGTATAATTTTGAAGTTTTGTTTATGTGGGTTCCATTGCATGTTGGTGTCAAAGGAAATGAAAGGGCTGACTTTTTAGCTACTACTATAACCAACTCTTCAAATGTTATTCCTGATTCTAGTGCTCACATGTACAGACATAGTCCCCATTAAGAAAAGGGCCATTGACATATGGAAAATGCATTGGAATTACACTATACAAAGTGAAAATAAAGGTTTGTGGTATGCTGTATACAATGTCCCTATTGGAACTTCGCCATGGTTCTGTAAGTCCTAGCTACATCAATAGAAAATTTTTCTGTAAGTCCTAGCTACATCAATAGAAAATTTTATACCACTATTCTTAGGCTCCGTTTTGGACACTGTCGTTTAAATTTTCATCTCTTTCGTCTAAAAATGGTGCAGAGTTCAGATAGTAATTGTTGTGACTGCATCAGAACAGTCTTTGTCTCATGTGTTCTTTGATTGCTCATCCTTTGGCATTCAGCGCCTTGTGTTGATGGATGAGCTTATCGAAATATATGGCCAATCAGAGATGGTTCCGCGCTCAATTCAGGATCTTCTTTTAAATAGCTGTACATATTTATCTTTATTTAAATTTGTTATTAGCACTGTAGGGCAAATTTAAAATTGTAGGTTATGTCTTAAGTTACTCATTGATGTCGATTCTGGCAAGATTCTCTAAAGCTAAACTTAAATTTGACAACAGTGCATCCTTTTCGCTCTCTTTACAGAATAAAAAGGAGAGACTGATGTCAAATTTAGTTTTAAGTTTAGAGAATCACGCCAGAATCGACACCATTATTTTGTTTTGTCTTTGAAAATATTTAATGAAGTGTTCAAATATTTTGCTAGTCTTTATAACTTTGAATTTTTTTTCTTTTCTGGGTATTGTTGTTTTCTGTCATTATGACGGTCTTTTAGTTGCGTTCTTTAAAATATATATATCGTCGGTGATACTGCAAATGGAGCTATGTCAGCTAAAAGTGATTTTACAGTAGAGACAAAAAACTGTTTTTTTTTTAGTTTCTGTCGCTAAGTATTTGATAAGTACGTAGTGTTACAACGGTAATAAGAGCTATAAAATAATATGTGAATGAATTTCCAATGTAGCTTAATTATGGAAATAATTGGAGTTAGCACATTTTGCAATGAATTAATTGAACCTATTGTTTTGACATAAAACATATTGCTGTTTAAAAAAGCTGATAATTTTAAAATAATCGTAGTTTATTAACGGAATAATAAAATAACCATAACCACAATTAACGTATAAAAGTGTGTATAAAATAGGACAAAAAACATGCATTCGAAGATGTTTGCTGCCTTTATTTTTAACTTACTAGGTATAAAGTACCACCTAAATTAATTTACTAGCTAGAACATGGCTGTCAAGATGTAGAACGATGTGGCACATGATGTTGATGACCTATACTAATTTACGAACATGTGGAAATGTTTCAATGTCTGAACAGCCATGTTCTAGAGAATCATAAAATACATGATGATCCGAAGGAATAAGATTCTTCATTTCCTGAAGATGTGCAAATTTGGTTGCTTCTATAGCCAGTGGCTTCTGGTAAAGGGAAGGGCGTCCACTCAAGCGAACTGGAGCAGTTACCAGTGGTCTCCTTGGTAAACATTCCCAAGACTGATCGAAGTCGGTTTTGTAGTTTATTATACCTCTGGGATCGTATTGTAATGCTACAATGTCGGTAACATAAGGATCACCATTTTTATTGCCCGATCTCAAACTTTCATATTTACCCTGAGAAAAGCTATGAAAGTCCTTGTAAGTTAAGTAAAATACTTTATAAGGCTCGGGATTTTGTCTTGCTGACCTAATTATGCTCACATAATCGGCAGGAACAAAAATAGCTCGTTTTCGACCACGCAATTTCTTTTCTATCACACTATGAATTGAATCGACTTCCATTTGCGTATGGCTGACTTCGAGATATTTTTGTTCAATTATAATATTAAGTTCAATTGCCAAATCAAGCAAAGCATTAGCCAAAGTCAAACATCGGTTTTGATAACCACACCCATCGCTCCATAGTATAATTTTAGTTGGTTTAAACTTATCAATATCATGCTTAAGGTGTTTAGACAAATTAGTAGCAAATACATTACTTTCTAAGCCACCGTTTCCTTCATGCCAAATGTAACATGCAGCTTCTTTGTTTTTCATGTTATGGATGGTGTAGTTGTGGACCTTTAACTTTGTCTTATAGTAAGTTGCCGAGGCTTGAAGAAGAAGAAGGCACAGAACAGCTTGTACATCCATTGAATAAACTAATATATCAGATTCAGTATCACATTTATCATTTTCTTTTTCATTTCTCGATCTCTGTTTCTTTATTTGATGAGTGTCATAATCAGTTTGAGATAAGTGACCCTGTTTATAACTAATGCACTTATTGCATTGGTCCTTCCTGGGACTAAAAATATCATAATTAAGTTTTCGAAAAATCTTTAAGAAATAGCGTCTTGAGCAAAAGGTTTTATTTTTCTCTACACAGCTCTTTTTATATACTTCGAAAATATGATTATAACTATCCCAAACCGGCTCCAAATATAATTTCCTAGAAGACGCCCTGCAGTAATGAGATTCTACTTTAGCAAGTTTGTCCAAAAACGCAATTACAGATATTTCTTTATCACCTGCAAGATCATTATTGGGTATAGTTGTATTGTCAGTGTTTGTTAGCAACCAGTCTCGTAACTGTCTTTTCCCAATCCCTAAGGTTGATAAGAACATTTCTTTGCAGACATAAAACTTAGCGCAGCTTTCACCTGTCTGTGAAATCAAGTGATATTTCATGGTAACATTTTTTTTGTCTGGTCTGGACACATGTTTTTAAGCAATGTTAGCAATAAAATTCAAAAATTAGCTAAAACATTTTGTTTGTTATACAGAACTGAGTTTTGTACAGAATTTAAGATTTCTACTCGCTTTCTACGTTTTTTTCAGTTATAGTACGATGAAATAACATTAAATTATAGGGTAATGTCTACTTACCTTTAAATATTTATTCAAAACCTATATTTTTATAACTAATCAGCTTGCGAAAAACCGTTGCGTCGACATGGAACATATTGCAGTACCCCGACAAGTGACAAGACTTGAAATGAAAGTGACGTATTGCAACACATTTGAAAACTGTGTTCTGATTGGCGGACGACTTAGAACGATTTGTAAGTGCGTTCGGATACACGCACTTGATCATTTTCATTAAAAAAAACAAAATATTTTTTTCTTGACATGGAACGTTTTGCAGTATCACCGACGATATATATATATAATTATTCTTCAATATAAAGTAAACAAACTAAAGACGAGGCTGTATGGGCTTTAGTTCCCCTTGCCTTCCCTAAAAAGGGAGAATATTAAAAAAAAAATGCCACAGCCATAAAAAAAAACTAGAAATAGAAGTTGGGTTAAATCTTGAAGGAGATTTTACAGAAGAAATCTGAACAAGTTTATTTAATAAATGAACTTATATTTATTACAATCTTGATTGCTCACGGCATAGTATACGTACATAGTTCTGTGCTTCATTGATTATGCAGTAACTAAAGCAACATAGCTATTGTAACATTTTTATGTAAGAAATGAAAAAGAATGCATGAATGTAAAGGTAGACAATAACCACCAAAAATAAGATATCAACTAATCCATTTGTTAGTAATCATTTCAGATCACTGGTTGTTTTGATAAAAAAATCAAATAATGGTTGAAGCTGATGTAGGTTTTCTTACTAAAGCTGTTTCTTCTTTAGTACAAGCGAATTGTGATCCAACACAAAAAATATTAAAGAGTTTTTACTTGTAAGTATGACAATCCTTTATAACATATTATCTTGGATTTGCACAAAACAAAGGTGACCAATTTGTTTTTGTTACAGGATGCGCTGTAGAGAATTGACGAAAGGTTATGGTCTCCCAGAGAAATATTTCTCTCCAAAAGTTAGATGTCCACATTGTTTTGTTGATTGGGAAAAAGGAACAGAGGTTAAAGTGTGTGCCTTTTTAATAAACTTAATTCTAAGTTGCCTTTGTTGCAAGTCATTAAGATGTTTTTCAATTTAATCATTGCAAATAAAGAAAACTCCTACAACCAAAATAATAGAAACAAATTCATTTAGTTTCATTCATTAATGTACAATTTGAAAAATGTTTTTATTAATTTTTGCAGGTGGAGCATATAAGATTGAGCCACAGACAAAAAAGAAGGATCAAACAGTATAAATTAAATAAAAGTAATAAGGACTTTGTCCAGAAAAAAAGAGACTTATTGAAAAGTAATAAAATTGTAAGTACTTATTTCTTTGAATTTTATTAATCATAAATTGATATAATATAGATGTACACTGTACAAATGATTTGATTTTCAGGAACAAATTTGTGAATTTTGTAAAAATGCCATCGCCACTATAACACCAAAACCATTGAAGTTTAAAGAGACAGCGATTTCTTCTACCGATAACAGACAAAAAAATTATCAAGTCAATAATAAAAGTAACACATCCAAAGTAAAAGAAAATTTGACAAACAATAGCAATAAAATTATAAAACCAAATTTGGGAAAATCTTCTGGAATCAATGTGTATTCAAAGTCAAAGGATGCATTTTCATTGGGAAATAAAAATAATACATTGCAAGGTGTAATAAAACCACAGAAGGTTGTTAAAAATAATAAGAAAAAGAAGGACAAGTTTGCAGGTTTGTGTCAACAGGCAGTCCTAGCTGCAGCTAAATTAAAAGAAGAAAAAAGGATAGAAAATAAACTTAATTTATTTTTGAAACCTTCATCAACATAGTAAATAAAGTTTATATAAAATGTAGCTTAGATATTTAACTTATTATTTACTTAGTATAAATTATTTATTTTTGATTTTTTTATTTTTTTTTAAGCATTTAACTGCTATATGTTTAAATCTAAAGAAAAGTTTACTAGAAAAAAATCCACGCGGACCAGGCAGCGGACGGGACTCGAACCCGCATCCTTCGCTATCCGGGCGAATGCACTGACCATTATGCTACCACGGCGTATTAGCCGCGTCGAAATTTTCCTAGCCTTAAGCTGCAAGGCAGCGCCATCTCTTCGCACTGTAGGTATCCCACAATGTCAATGTTTTTTTTTTTTTCTAGTAAACTTTTCTTTAGATTTATTTATTTTTTATATATTTTTACTTTGAGTGTAAAATACATCATTTTTTTATTATAAGAATTATATGTATGTCCATGACATTGGTATTTGTGTGGCTTGTTTTTACATGCATAAGGCCTTTATCAAAAGATTTGTAAAAGTTGTAGGAATCATTATTAGTAAGATATTTACAAATGTCAATATTTTCGTTCTTGGCATATGGTACTAAATCTATATATCCAATTGCTCCAGCTGCATCCGTAGGTCCATCTATACCATCAGTGCCAGCACTAAGTAAATATACATCAAAGTTTTGAAAATTATCTTTAGTTTCATTAATATTATTAGAAAACTCTAGAGCTAGCTGTTGATTCCTACCACCTTTCCCATAACCTTTTACTTCGACTGTTATTTCTCCACCAAGAATTAAACAAACATGGGATGCTGAAATTTCAAGATCACAAATATTGTCAATGTGGTTATTACTTCCAGGTATGTCTAAACACAGCAATTGGTCTTTCAACTCTTCTTTGCCTATAAGGTTTTCCATAAAGTCGCATAACAATTTTGACAATTTAACATACTTTTTCGCAATATCTTTGACATTTCCAGTAACAGCATTTGATAGAGGTATAGCTGAATAGTTTAAAGTTTTGCATTCATTTACTGCTGCATCAATACTTAGTTTGTTGGAACCGATAATAAGATTTTTAACTTTATGTCTAGGGAATGTTTCAAGATTGTTTTTATTTCCCAATATGAGCTTGATAGAGTTTGGTAGTTGGTCATATAAGTTGTACTTTTGTATAATGTCTACAGCTGCATTTTGATGATCCTTATTTTCTGTAGTAGGTCCACTAGCTATCAGATCCAATGGATCTCCAACAATATCAGACAGTATTAATGAAATCACTAATGCAGGTTGTGCGATTATTGCTAATTGGCCACCTTTAAGATCTGAAAGTTTTTTCCTTACTGTATTTAATTCAGTAATATCTGCACCTGCATTTGCTAATTTTCTTACAATTTCAGTTTTTTCTTCTAATGTTATTGGTTCTTTCGGTAGTGGCAATAATGCGGAACCACCTCCTGATATCAGGACTAGCAGAATATCATCATTACTGAGTTGCTTTGCCAAATTTTTAACTTTGCTTGCTGTTGCTTGAGCATTTGCATCAGGCAGATTATTTTGAGCACCTTCATAATAAATGACATTCCCATCCACTGTAAAATTACATGAACTTCCATATGGAATGCTTATGATCCCATGTTTTATTTTAGGACCAAATATTTTCTCCACTTCCTTAGCCATGTTTTGCACTGCCTTACCTGTACCGATGACATATAAATTTTTGTTTAATAAACTAAAACTTTCCCCAGCAATAGATAGCTGTTCACTTTTGGGATCAAATTGCACAACGTTATTTATCAATTTTTCGGGAAGTACTGCTGAAATGCTGCTTTTAAATATTTGTAGTAAGTTATTTATTACACATTTTGACATTGTTATCTTCCGGTAACCTACACGATTAAATTTTGATTTAACTAAAAATCTAAATAACATTATCAGATGTCCAAGTTGTACTCTACCGGTAGGTAGGTACTGTTATCTTATCAATCAACATAGATATTTATTATGTCTATGATCTTAATACCTACTCTAGATAGTGGTGTCGATTCTGGCAGGATTCTCTAAACGTAAAACAAATTTAAGATCAGTATGCCCTTTCATTCCGTATACAGAATGGTTGTCAAATTTAAGTTTAGCTTTATAGAATCATGCGGTATTTGATTTTTTTTTATAGCCTGCACGGTTATAAAATCAGGATAAAAAAAATGGGTGCGTGTACTTATGTAGGCGCGTGAGAAGTTATCCTTCTTTGGCATCGTTTAAAATTAGTTTTTAATTGCATGCAAATAATTAATTACAATAAATTAATAAAAAGTCTGGAAAAGGACACAGTCAATAAAGTTCAGTTTTAATTTGAAAAAATAAATAAATAATCAAAATATTCAATTAAAATCGCTACTGAATATAATTTATTAGAACATATGTGATTTGCACTTGTATGAAACTCAAACACGTATTCCGAATATACAAACTAGAAACATGTGGATAAATATTATAAATATGAATACCTATAACTGTTACTTCATTACAAAAAATAAAGATGTGGTTTTTGGTTCTACTACACCAATGGTCAAGAGATGGCGCTGTAGTCTCCTGAATCGCGCTTTGGTTCCGTTGTTCCAGATTAATAAATACTTTTTGTTACTTTATTACAAAAAATAAAGATGTGGTTTTTGGTTCTACTACACCAATGGTCAAGAGATGGCGCTGTAGTCTCCTGAATCGCGCTTCGGTTCCGTTGTTCCAGATTAATAAATACTTTTGATAGGCCTTCACAATGCAGTCGTTAGCAGTTAGCACCCACTAAATAGAGATTCTATTTCTATTTTGTTGGTAGATTTTCTTAATTTGCGGTAAACACAAAAGTAACAGCATGAAGTTGGTTAATTTTTTGTGTTACAGTGATGCGCGCGCATCTTAAAATTTCACTCTCATCATTTTTTCATAACGCGCCTAAAGAAGTATAACTTCAAAAAGAACGGAAATTTAAAAAGAAAGGATCAAGTAAATATTTACAGTTTAACATTATGTTTCTGGATAAAATATGAAATACATCAATAAATATTATACTTCATAGAATAAAGCAAAATATTAACAGTACCCTTACACTTACTACAAGTTTTACAATTACGAAAACTATGATAGTTATCGTGAGCTCGCACTCGTACCTAGGGTACAATACAAATAAACAGTGTTTAAATTCTATCATGAAATCATTTGCGTCTTATTAAAAAGTATATTTGATTACTTTGCACCAAAATGGACATAGAAACATAATTTACAATTCGAAAACTATGATAATTTTCGTGAGCTCAAACTCGTACTAAGGGTACTGAAGTCGGCTGAATAATACGAAGGGATGATAAGGAGTCAATAAAAGAGGAACAGTCATATATGACTGCTGAGTCAATAAAAGAGGAACAGTCATATCATATCAAAATCGCCAACATCAGTGCTATTGACTTTTCCTAATCTAGCCAGATGAAAAGAAGTACAAACATGGCCCAGTCTCATCCGAGTCATAATAGAGGTCTTTATCTTGCCAAATAAAATTATAAAACCAAGGCTTTGTAGGTTTGAATTTATGAATAATTCTTTCCTTTATTTTTACTACAAACAGAACATATTTGTTCCTAGGATTCACGTAGATCCGAATTAGGAAGACCTAAAAAATCATTAATAAAGTTTTTGTATGGAACAATATCGCCATAATCCACAGCATCATTGGCAAGTTTATCCGCAATTGCATTGTCAGAAATACCCAAATACCTATATGGTATCATATAGGTATTTGGGTATTTACTTATAGTGGGTAGTAAAAACGGAACTTTCAGGTGGTACTTTAATTATTTGGACAATTTTTGATTGTTGATGATAAACTCCAACACCAACGAGGCCTGAGGAAGGAAGAGTTTTTAGATGCAACGCTATAAATGTAATGACGATCTGGCCAGTCTATGATTATATTAAAATAAACATTTGCAGAATAAATGGATCGATCGGAGATATATCTTAAGTAAAATAAATTTTATAAACAAGAATTAAAGCTTCATAGTCTACAGAAATAATAGAGGGGAATGCAAGAAGATAATTTTTCGAATTTTTCAACTAAACTAGATAGTGACTTATGCCTTGATGATACTATGTGTGAAAGAGAAGATAATTTTGAATGAAGGGGATGCTGCAGAAACTTGTCAGAAAGATATTATCGACGGAGTCGTAGAGGGTCGACACATTCAACTTGTAAAGCATTGATAGGGCTAGATTTGATTGCACAGAGGCTATTAGGCGAAGAGCTTTATACTGTATCCCATCAAGCTCTTTAAGTCCAACAGCATCGCATGACTCAAGAAAGTAACTTCCATAGTATAAAATACTTCGTAAAAGAGCATTGTAAAGAGGTTTCAAAGTATGGGTGTCCACCCCACCAAATACCTGTTTTGCAACTCACGATATTTAAAACACGTTCACATCGAGCTGTAACGTAATACCAGTGAGATAAACCTGATAATTTAGCGTCTAAAATACCTCCTAAAAATTTGTTTCGTTTTGTACTGAGATAGGTTTATTGTCAAAACATACGGAAACAGAAGGGGGCAGACGCATTCTAGAAAATATCAGTACGCAGCTTTTTGAAACAGAGAGGTTATGAGCGTAGAATCTAGCCAAATTTTAAGTTTGGTCAGTGCTCTACTTTAAATATAGCTTATTTCTAAAATAGATCATGCCGAAAGATCGACTTTTTATTAGATGCTCGGTTAATTAAACAAGAACGGACGAGAGCGCTATTGGTCTGTATGAATTCGCATCAGAAGGTGGCTTATTTGGTTTTAAAAGAATTACTTCTTGTAATTTTCACGAAGTAGGACTATTGCCGGAAATTCTTATGGAAATAATTAATCTTAAAAAATACAAAAAAGGCTTTAATGGCTTAGATGAGAGAGAAAGGAATATGGTTTACCGTCAGTTCCTTTACAAATAGCAACAACGAATAGTAAATTGCCGGCATTATTCAAAATTAAAACATTTCGCACCTTTAGAATTGAAGTGACCTAATCCAAAATTCTTGTTTTTTGGTAAACGCTAAAAATAACTTGTTCCAGGGTACATCAAAAAATAAATAATTGAATAATATGCAGGTTTTATTTTTTGTAACATAAGCACCTACGTGTAGATTAAAACAATATTTTGTCATAGTTATAACAAAAAAAATGTGTGCGTGTACTAGTGTACACACGTAAGAAGTGAAACTTCTTTATGGCCTTATTTTTCGAAAAATGATCTACATGCAACTTTCCAGAAATTGGTTAAATAAAGTTAAATTAGATAAAGTTTAAACAAAAGGATTTTATTATCATAGACATGAATACAAATTACTGCCTGTGAAACTGTTATGATTACACGGCTCAGTAATCTAAGGCACATGTTCCACCTCCGACGATGAACGATAAGCGAGTAGAAACTAGAAACGAATTGGCAGTCCTGAGTTAAAATGCACGCGCACGGCTTTTGACAGCCAAGCCAGCTTAACCGAGCGAGTATAGCTGTGCGAGTATCGCTGAGCTAGTATCGCTGGGCGAGTATCGCTGAGCGAGCATCGCTGAGCGAGTATCGCTGATCGAGTATCGCTGATCGAGTATCGCTGAGCGAGTTCCGCTGAGCGAGTTCCGCTGAGCGAGTTCCGCTGAGCGAGTATCGCTATGCGAGTTTGGCTGAGCGAGTCTTATCTTTAATAACTATTGTCACTCAACTACAAACGAGTAGAGAGAGTTCTCGCCGGCGACAGTGTGATCATTCAGCTATCAACTATTAATATAAAAAAAGATGGAGCGTAACGGAAAAATATGACGCGTAACCGAAAAATGTGACAGTAAATTTTTTTCCAACGCCGATAAAGAAGTTTCACTTCAAATATTGTTTTAGACCTTCACCGTGTTCCCATTTGCACATCCATAATATGTATGCTTCTTTTATTCTTATTAGTGTGACATAATATTATCATTTTAACCAAATTTCATTTTGAAGTGAAACTTCTTTATCGGCGTTGGAAAAAAATTTACCGTTACATTTTTCGGTTACGCGTCACATTTTTCCGTTACGCGCCATCTTTTTTTATATTAATAGTTGATAGCTGAATGATCACACTGTCGCCGGCGAGAACTCTCTCTACTCGTTTGTAGCTGAGTGACAATAGTTATTAAAGATAAGACAGTGCCAGATACTGCGTAACAGTATCTGGTTGCTTTCCAATTACAGAGCATAATGCGACTCAGTGCCGCACAATGCCGAATTATGCTGATGCTTAATTGGAACGTGAATCAGTTTTCAAATGCACCAGCAGAGTGCGCTAAGTTCAGTGTTGAAAAAAAAAGTCAATGTTTGTACCTTCATCCATATTTATATTTAATTTTTAACACAGTTTGAATTAACTTTGATTATTTAATTTTGATTATAAAAAAACTATGATGAAACGAAAGTTTTAATAATTTTTCAACAATAAATAATATTACTAACGATAACATATAAATAAAACATTTCGATCAATGCCAACTTAAGGAAAAAACTCTTGTTAATTTTCTGTCTCTGAGTTGGTACGATTGCACGCATCACACGGAAGCATTACTTTTGAGAGTGCTCAATTGTGCGAAGCGTTGCTGTAGTTGGAACACTCAACGTTAAGCATTATGCCGCATAATGCGCTATAATGCTGTAATTGGAAAGCTACCACTAATGGCATAACGTAATACCGTTTATTGATCGTGTGTACGCTAGAATCACGGACACCACTTCAATTCTAAAGATGCGATTTATATCGTTGTTTTGTAGAAAGTTTGTTGGAGTTATGCAGGCACATCATTTGGCTATTCGTGTTTGCAAGTTGTTAACTTGTCATCAGTATCAGTTTGTCTTTTATATACCATAAGAAACATGATAAGGACAGACTGTTGTCAACAGTGTTTCCACAATGAGGGGAAATTAGGGTCCCGAGGGGAATATAAGGGGGAAAGATATGAAAAGGGGAAATTGCGGGAAATTATGGGTAAAGCCTAGCCTAAAATAATGCGGCACGGAACAATTTTTTTATGGACTATACCGTGGACTAGAGTGTTGCCGTATAAAATAAACTGTGGCAACACGTGCAGATTTTATATATTTCATATTTATGTGTTATAGAATAAGAGATTAAGACCTTTTTTTTCTTTAGTTACTACACTAGTGCCTAATCTAAAAACTACAGCAGAATATTTTTTGAGTGGAAAAATGTCGTAAGAAGGGGAAATCTGAACTGAGGCGTGGGGAAAGGAAATCATTAAAGTGGAAACACTGGTTGTCAAGTTTATAAATCTTAACCGATTAGCAAAGTTAATTGCCGGCATTAAACACAAAAAAAAGTACCTATTTCATTTGTATTTTAACAATTTTTTATTTATGCTCGATGCATAGCGTGTGAAAATAAATAAATAATAAATGGATACACCTGTTTGCTTTACCCAATTATTCGTAGACAAGCAAAATGTTAGGACTTTTAGCAACATTTTCAAACTAATTTTACTCAAACATGAAAATTACACACATTTTTTGAATAATATATTTGAAGAACCTTATTTGGTGAGTCAATTATCTCCTGACATTCTGGAAGTTTTATGTCTTATTAGACAAAATCTAGGAAATGAATCTAAGAAAGACTTTAAAAGTTATTTTCCTAGAGAAAATGATGAAAACTTGATCTCATTAAACAAAAATCACATATTTATTAGATGTTGGATGGCCTTACTTAACATTGTCCCAAAAACCCTGTTTGGAAATAAACACAATGAAAATTTATTCAGGTCCATTGTTGAAATTATTATTCATGGTATGAAATGGCAACATATACAATTTGGAAAATTTCTAAGGAAATGGGACTTTTCTGTTCCTCCTTGGGAGTCTCTAAATGCACCAGAGTCAAATAGAATATTATATCATTTACTGTATTGGATTATCCGAAATATATTGTCACCCATGATTTGCCTGAATTATCATGTGACTGCATGTAAATTGGATAATGATGAAAATAAGCTCCATTTTTTTTGGAAGACCCAATGGCAAAGTTTCTTTGATAAATCTATATGCAAGATGGTATATAAAGGTGTTATCAAAAAAGTTGAATCATTTAGTACAGGAAGGAAACTTAAAAGGAATCATAATCTCAGTATGAGACTAAGGCTCAGAAATATAAAAAAAGATATACCGAAGCTTCATCTAGTTTTAAAAGTAAATGGTGAATACAGGCCTATCATACGCTATAAATCTGATACTCAGACTTCAGTTGAAAAACAAGATATAAAAAGAAGATTGAAGTTCCTTAAATTATTAATTGGTAAATCACCTAGAATGGAAATACTTTATAATACAATGTATTCAAAGTGGTTAACTTTAGATAGACCAAAGCTTTTTTTTATCAAAACAGATCTAAGTAATGCTTTTGGGTCAGTAGACAAAATTCTCCTCTTAAGGATAATACAGGATAAATTTTTGAAATATCAGATGAAAGAGGAAAATGTTCACACTAAAGACCAAAACAGTAAAATATTTAGTGAAATATTTGATAAGGTAAAAAAAAATATACTGATTAGGACTGGCTCTACAGTTTATGTTTGGAGAAAGGGGCTTGTGCAAGGTTACAAATATTCGCCAGCTCTCTCTGAGATATACTATCAACACTTGGATGACATCAATTTTAGAGAGCATTTACAATGTGCAGATGATAAAAAAATAAAACTGTTTACAAGAGTTGTGGATGATTACATGTACATAACAGATTCATTAGGAGATGCTCACAAGTTTTTAGAAGCTTTAAAAAATTATAATAATGTAAATTATGAGAAGACAGTTGTTAATTTCCCATATCCTAATGTTAAATTCAGTGATGAAATAACATTTTTGGGTTATTCTTATAATACAATCGATTTGCAAGTGAGTAGGGCTCTTAGTGTATTTAGCGGTCAGATGTGTTATAAAATATCATTTCATAGTACAATCGACAACATATACAAGTTTTTAGAATCCCGTATTGGAAAATCAAGCATGCAAATAAATGCTCACATTTTTAATTTTCTCTATAATACCGAGAGCCTTGTGTGGGAACATATATTTACGACTTTTTGTTTGGCGGCAAATAAATTTTGCACAATATTAGCAGTACTTTGTCATCCACAGGATATGGCAACATTTTTACAACTTTATAAAAAGAAGGTATCTGTTAAACTTGGCAACACTATTATAGATACTTTGGTGAGGAATAAACCCAATGATTTCTTGTTTGTTTATTGTGTAAATCATATTCAACATTTATCTTTTTTGGCGTTGAGCTTGTGTGCTAAGAAAACTCCAAAATGCGGAAATATAGTGCCCCTTATAAATAGAGAGCTTAGAAAGTCTAATTGTATTTTTGGGAAGTGGAAGGAACATGCAAGCAGAATCGATGAAAATGGGAATAAATTAAGAGAGGCAACAAAAGCTGTATGTAGAAGATCTGATTTGAGAATTATAATGAGAAAATTTAACTGCTTACCTGATGTTTTTCAGTGTTACAATCATAAAGTTATTTTCAAAACTTAGCAAGTTACATAAATAAAACTATCACATCAAAATATATTTTTATTAAAATGAAAAAAATTGAATACATTTCCAGAAAAATATAAATTTGGTATAGACAGCCACACATCATGTCACCACAAACTTGAATTTTCTTAATACATAGATTGGTAATCCTTTGGTAAGCTAGCAAGCATTAAAAAGCTCAGCCAGTTGGAGAAATTTGACAGTTATGAGCAACATTATCTGTGGATCTCTGTACCTAATTCTGAGATTTCATTTGGACGGATTCTGTATCTTGAGTATTAAATATATAAAATAGTAAAGAAAAATAGGTACTCGTTTAAGTATAATTATATTTGTACCAATTTAATATGAAAATTTAAGTTACTAAAGAGATAATACACATATTATCAGATCCTAAGTTTACTCAATAATAATGCAGTCTATTTTTGTAAGGCACAACACATGGACGGACACATTGAAACTTATAATTAAATTAATAAACTTACAGCTGCACTAGAGTGACATATTTATTTGATTTTAATTGGAGTTGCAAACAACACTTTCTTTGCAATAGCATTACAATAAGACAACATATTATACTACTGGTATGGTACCGCAACCGGAATGCTAAGCTATGGCGGCGGAGGGCCATATACTTGTTCGCCTCCCTTTTCACATTGTAAAAAAAACTTTGTCAAGCATTTAATAAGCATTTGATTTACATCTCCCAATGTGAATAAGTAAAAATATCAAAAAGCACAATTGATGTAAAAACAATGAAAGTAAAAACATATGACTAAAAATACATTTAAAAAAAAAACAATGATTTTTTACTGTCTACCTTATTATTTAATAAAAAAAAAGATTGTCAAAAGTTTGCTAAACTAGTACACTAGTAGAAGTTACATTTAGGCTGCAGCGTGGCGGACATAAAATTGTTGGCTTTTAAATCCATCCTGTATTTTTTGTACTAATTTAATTACATTGGCCGCGTCTGCTTTGTGGTAAAAAAAAGAATTACTAAAGAAAGCAACAACAGCGAGACACTGATTGTGTGACAGTAATTCTCAAAAATTTGCTTCGGACTTTAAACAGTTAGCAATATGCTTCAAAATTCTATACCACCCAGCACGCGGTGCTTACAACTGCAGCATTAGCTGTTTTTTGGAATGAAATTTAAACAAAATTGTTCCTATAGACCCGTTTCAAACGTTTTGAGAAATATAAGGAAAGAGGTAGGTAAATATAAAGAAAGAGGTAGGTAAGCCTGACCATAGCCAAACAGAATTCGTAGGTTAACAGATTTTTTTAGAATTGATCAAAATTTAAGGCATCTAATTAAGAGGTTTAAATTTTTGTTTACATTTGTTCTCAAAAAGTTTGTAACGGACTTTATGTGAAGAGATTTCACGTGATAAAGGTACTTCTGCCACAAAGGGCGGCATCCACTTTTTAGCCAGTTATCTTAATAAAGCGACTACGAATAAAGCTATAGCGATCATACGACCTATGACACCGACTCTGTACGCGTGTGATAAGAAATTGGTATCGGCAGCGATATAGTATGCGGATTGGGGGGCATCGCAGGATACTATTCTAGCAGCCCTAGTTAAAGCTTTGCCCGCTATTATTTCGGCGGATCGCTTGTGATGAGACAGAGGTTTTAGACGGACGGCTGCGTCGCTAAATATGAGATCCGCGTACGGAGGTGGCGAGAAGAACATGCTGAAGCTGTAATAACATTTTTTATGAAAATACATATAAAGTAATATAAGCACTGGCTGAGCTTGGATTTTAGCCAATCATGGGGAAACATAATTCGCCCTTGATGGCTTCATTCCAAGAGCCATAAGTGGTCATCCTAATTGGCAACGATCATACGTTGCGATCTCATCGTGCGATAAAAATAATGTACCTGTGCTTGAGGAGCTCGATGGCGCAGGTGGTTAGCGCTTTCGGATGCGATCTTTTAAATTAAGCAACTTTCGCAGTGGTCGGTCATTGGATGGGTGACCAAAAATCTTCTATCTCGAGTTCCTCCGTGCTTCGGAAGGCACGTTAAGATGTTGGTCCCGGCTGCATCTGTGGTCGTTAGCACCCACCAATCCTCACTGGGCCCGCGTGGTGGGTCATGGCCCAATCTCCCTATTCCATCCATAGGGAAGGCCTGTGCCCCAACAGTGAGGGACGTTAATAGGCTGATGATGATGATGTGCTTGAGCGACGGCTTACGAGCTGTATTAAGATATAAGTTGTAGAAACTATTAAAGCTATTAACGAACCTTATTATACATGTAACTTTAATTAGTTGCAATAAATATATTTTCATTTTCATATATTCTGAAGACATCTGTATGTTTGAAAATCATTGCACGACGAGAACGCGTGTCATTCTACTTTCGTTATGATTTAACGGATGTTTAGTTATGAGCCAGACAAGATTGTAACTAAACAGGACTTGAATGTAATTTAAGAGTTTTTATGATTTAATATTACCTGAATTCATCTGTGGCCGTAGCTCCGTACAGTTGTTGGGCATAAATCATGAGATTGGAGTAAGTATCCAATTCAGTGTGGTTAGCTCGTCCCATTAACACAGAACCTGGTACTTTGCCCAGATTGCAGTGTTTATACTCGTGCACTTTGCCTCGAGTACCTGTAAAAGAGAGAGTGGAATCAATCAAGACACACAGACACACACGGACACCTTCACTCTATGTCCAGTGGTAGGGTAAAAGTAGAGAACAGTACTTGCACGAACCAACAAATTCGAATAGTTTGCGAGTCCGAAATGTCATTGTTAAATTTTGTATGGAAACAAACAGCAGCGCCACAAAGTACGTAATGAGAACTAAAACTCAGTACACATTAGACAATGACATTTCGGACTCGCAAACGATTATTGGTTCGTGCTAAGGGTACAGTATCCTTCGATATAGAATTCGAATAGTTACTGAGGGTACAGTACCCTTTTTTATCTGAGCTTATAACCGATTTTATTATAACCCTTTTGCTGGTTGCCAGAAATCTTTTCCATGACTTCTTCTTATGACGTCCACCCACCGACTTTTCATTATGGGATCATTAGGTAGTATGGAAATAGTGGACTTTATAAAAACAAAAAACTAGCATCTTCCAACGGTCCAAATCTCCTTTTGCCGTACGAACGCCACGTCCATCTCCCCCCGCCCTCTGTGTATACACATGCGGCTCACCGTCCGGGCACAACAGCTGCAGGTCTGACGGCAGCAGGTCGCGCGCCCACCACTCCCGTCACCGCCCGCCCGACACCTCAGCGGGCGTGGCGTGCCGTGCCGCCCCCCCTCCCCCCGCCCTCTGTGTATACACATGCGGCTCACCGTCCGGGCACAACAGCTGCAGGTCTGACGGCAGCAGGTCGCGCGCCCACCACTCCCGTCACCGCCCGCCCGACACCTCAGCGGGCGTGGCGTGCCGTGCCGCCCCCCCTCCCCCCGCCCTCTGTGTATACACATGCGGCTCACCGTCCGGGCACAACAGCTGCAGGTCTGACGGCAGCAGGTCGCGCGCCCACCACTCCCGCCGCCGCCCGCCCGACACCTCAGCGGGCGTGGCGTGCCGTGCCGCCCCCCCTCCCCCCGCCCTCTGTGTATACACATGCGGCTCACCGTCCGGGCACAACAGCTGCAGGTCTGACGGCAGCAGGTCGCGCGCCCACCACTCCCGTCACCGCCCGCCCGACACCTCAGCGGGCGTGGCGTGCCGTGCCGCCCCCCCTCCCCCCGCCCTCTGTGTATACACATGCGGCTCACCGTCCGGGCACAACAGCTGCAGGTCTGACGGCAGCAGGTCGCGCGCCCACCACTCCCGTCACCGCCCGCCCGACACCTCAGCGGGCGTGGCGTGCCGTGCCGCCCCCCCTCCCCCCGCCCTCTGTGTATACACATGCGGCTCACCGTCCGGGCACAACAGCTGCAGGTCTGACGGCAGCAGGTCGCGCGCCCACCACTCCCGTCACCGCCCGCCCGACACCTCAGCGGGCGTGGCGTGCCGTGCCGCCCCCCCTCCCCCCGCCCTCTGTGTATACACATGCGGCTCACCGTCCGGGCACAACAGCTGCAGGTCTGACGGCAGCAGGTCGCGCGCCCACCACTCCCGTCACCGCCCGCCCGACACCTCAGCGGGCGTGGCGTGCCGTGCCGCCCCCCCTCCCCCCGCCCTCTGTGTATACACATGCGGCTCACCGTCCGGGCACAACAGCTGCAGGTCTGACGGCAGCAGGTCGCGCGCCCACCACTCCCGTCACCGCCCGCCCGACACCTCAGCGGGCGTGGCGTGCCGTGCCGCCCCCCCTCCCCCCGCCCTCTGTGTATACACATGCGGCTCACCGTCCGGGCACAACAGCTGCAGGTCTGACGGCAGCAGGTCGCGCGCCCACCACTCCCGCCGCCGCCCGCCCGACACCTCAGCGGGCGCGGTGTGCCGCACGAACGCAACGTCCCCGCCGCCCTCTACCATGCAACGTACGGCGCCCACGTGACCGAAGTAGTCCTCACTAGCGTCGCGACGGCAACGTCTGCGCGGACAATTGACACACAAACGTTACAAAATGCTATGTTATCTACTATATCAATATTATAAAGAGGAAACTACGGGACCGATTTTAAAAATTCTATTACGATTACAGTGACATAGTGCAGGAGCACACGATGTATTGCGGTGCAGCGCCGCAATGTGCCTCAGCAGCGTACATTTCACCTGCCTTCTGCTCATGGCTCGTTGTTTACTTAGCTCTTTATTTGCGACTCTGACTGATAAATCCCAACTACGAAGTTTTTCGCTTGTTTATAACAATAATAATCACTGATCGAAGTAATCACTAGATAACGGTTATAATTCATCTTTTTCAAATAAAACCCGTACAAAACAACGTACGTATCTTACACATAAATCAATAAACCAAGCAAACATCCAAAAATTTGCAACATCATCACCACCACCATAAATGCTGATTAGCCAATATCATAAAACGATGATACCATCAATCTAAACAGGAGGCAACGGTCCAAGCACGAGTCAGTAATTCACAGCCGTACTATAAACCATTCAATAAAATTAACATTTTCGGATTCGATATTGTCTAACAAACTAAACAAAAAAAAAATTGTTTCTTGTATATTTTTTCACAAAATAAGATCATAATCATTATCTACAGGGTTAATTTTAAAACTCCAACAACCTCTTAGGGTTGCTCTGCTGTTTCATACATAAGTGCATCAGTTAATCGACCGAAATGTATGAAACAGCTGATTATTTTTCGCGATTTCAGTGTTGGTCCCATAATAAAAGTTGTTCCTGTTGATGGGTAGAATCACCCCCTAAGAGTTTGTTGGTGTTTTAAAATTAACTCTGTATACAAAAATTTATATACCTGTATGAAGCGCCGTGGCACAGATGGCACAGGTTGTCCTGAGGGATGGTGTTCGAGTCCACGTACTCGTTGCTCAGTGCCCCAGGGGCGCAAGACTTGGTGAAGTATTCCGCAGCGGCGTGGGCGCCGTCGCAACCGTACGACCTTACAAAGTAACGAACGATTCGCATTGAACAAAGGAGAATGTAAACTGAGGAGCTGGCGAACAAAACGATATAATTACACATCTGGTACTTTACTGGTCAAACTACTTTTTTTTTACAGTCCGGAAGTTTCGGGCCCGTTGAATTTGAATCTCAAATAATTTTCAATCAAAACCACCTAAAACAGTGTTTAAATTACTAAATTTATAAATTGCAAAACCACGCCAAAATGCTCACTGTAGGTATGTCATTCAGTTTTATACAGCTCCTGTAAAAATTGATTTTGTGGAATTATACTGTTTTGTTCGCCAGCTCAACAATGACCATGCAGCAAAGGTCTTGAATCAAATTTAAAAGCTAATCATGTTTTATTTTCTCAAACATGTATTCAAACTTCGAACGGTCAATTTACAGCAAGTTTACAATGTATGACGTGATTTTCGCAGTCTAAACGCCATTTTAGACTCTTCGAAAATTGCGTCATACGTTGACGCACCTGGCATCTGTATGTGAAATTGATATAGGCAGCTAGTTTACTTTTCTGATTTAAAAAGCATTAAAAATGTATTCAAAAATTCATAAGGCAAAGATTTTTTTTATAGTCACGCCATTCGAAAACGATTGACGCCGGCACCTCACATAGTTATACGTACTTGCTATTTGTCAATTTGGCAGCAAGTTATCCTTATAGATACTCTTTAGCGAGTGAAAAGGAGAAAACATTGTCAAGTTCACAAATAGCAAATACGAATAGCTATGCCAAGTGCCGGCGTTAGTCGTTTTTGAATGGCGTGACTATAAAAAAAATATCTTTGCCTTATGAATTTTTGAATACATTTTTAATGCTTTTTAAATCAGAAAAGTAAACTAGCTGCCTATATCAATTTCACGTACAGATAGATGCCAGGAAAACCCTATTGTCCAGATGGCTATTTTATAAAAACAACAATCACCTGATCCATGCGTTTGATATAAGATAGGCTAGCGGATAGACCCATCCGGCCGCCATACCGATGCCGGTGTGGCAAGTGTTCTTGCCGCGCAGATACGTGAGGTCGGTGTCGGGGTCCTGTTCCTTGGCAACGGCCACTGCGTAGTACCAATTGTCACCACTCGTGTATACCTAGTTTATAAAAAAAATGTTGCAAAATGATAACATAAGTCAGGAGGCCTAAGCATGGAGGTTAGAGAGAAGGAGAACGATCGCTACGTACTAAAGCATTACCCCGCCTGTCCCTGAAAATCTGTAGAATTTATAGTTCATTTTTCAGCCACCAGCCGCGCTGCCGTCGGTAAGTAGTATCTGTGAAGTTAGCTGTTTATGAGTACAAGTAGATGAAATTAGTTGAATATTGTACAAATTTTCTTCGCGGCATTGGTCATTTCAAATTTTCCCGCTTTTATTGAGACAACTTAGCGATCGCAGCGCCTCGCATATTTTGTCCATATTTCTGGGACACTATTTTCTACAGCGATCGTTCTCTTTATTTCTAACCTCCATGGGCCTAAGCATGAATTTTGACAGCTCCCGTAATCGTATCGTCATCATTAAATTTGTATGGGAAAAGCTAGTTTCTGCTTACGTCTAACAGGGACGCTGCTTTGTTTTCGTAGAAACTTTGACGATGCTATACGTTACAGAGCTGTCTAAAGTGTTTCTGTTTCGTGCTTGGGCCTCTGATAGTTGTTGGGCCTCTGAGAGTAGAATTCTTCGATATTAGAAATTTCATTCAAAGGGACAAAATACTGTTAAACTAGTCCAAATCATTTACAAAGCGGTTAAAATCTTTTGTGAAAGTCAAAAAGCTGTGCTTGAGAAGAGAGAATAATAGACAAGAAACTGCTGCTTTTTTTCTCCCAGTCTCATTTCACACAATGTCGTCAGTAGAAAGATATTAACTATCAGGCTGGACATGTGTTTATTTCAGCCGTTCTTAGTAACGTCAAATTATTAAAATGGTTCTTTAGGTCATGTGATGTTTTTTCAGGTTATTATTTCTTATAATTGACAGTTATCACAATTCCACCAATGTTAAGTGGTTAGCGATTGCCCATTACACATAATAAGGGCACAGCAGTTGAAAATCTAAATTTTGTAAACAGTTGGTTAGGATTTTTCAGGTTATGGCAAAAAAAGATGACTGTATGTCAAATAATAGTAACCTCTTGCATGAAAGGCACCAGCCTATGGTTGTAAGCCGCGTGCAGCATATCGGCCGAGTCGAACACAGCGAAGTCGCAGACTACAGCAACATTCGGCTGTTTACTCACTTTTTGAAATAAAAAAAATATCAATATACTACAAAAGTCAGCACCAACCTCTTGCATGAAAGGCACCAGTCTATGGTTGTAGGCCGCATGCAGCATATCGGCCGAGTCGAACACAGCGAAGTCGTAGACATTAACGGCGATCAACTGTTTACTCACTTTTTGAAATAAAAAAAATATCAATTTATGCCAAAATTCAGTGCTAACCTCAATTGTTTACTCACTTTTTGAAATAAAAAAAATATCAATTTATGCCAAAATTCAGTGCTAACCTCTTGCATGAAAGGGACCAGTCTATGGTTGTAAGCCGCGTGCAGCATATCGGCCGAGTCGAACACAGCGAAGTCGCAGGCATTAAAGGCGATCACCTGTTTACTCACTTTTTGAAATAAAAAAAATATCAATTTATACCAAAATTCAGTGCTAACCTCTTGCATGAAAGGGACCAGTCTATGGTTGTAAGCCGCGTGCAGCATATCGGCCGAGTCGAACACAGCGAAGTCGCAGGCATTAAAGGCGATCACCTGTTTACTCACTTTTTGAAATAAAAAAAATATCAATTTATACCAAAATTCAGTGCTAACCTCTTGCATGAAAGGGACCAGTCTATGGTTGTAAGCCGCGTGCAGCATATCGGCCGAGTCGAACACAGCGAAGTCGCACACCCCTTCGGCGATCGCACGCTCACAGTGCCTTGTGCTGTGGCCTCGCCAGCACACCAATGCGGGTGAGAGGAACGCAGCCTTTAACGCAATCTACAACAAATATCCGTACTAATAATAATAATAAGAAGGCCGAGAAGGTCAAGCTCAGCAAGTATCTGGACTTGGCCCACGAGGTAACCGCGTTGTGGGATGTGGATTCGACGATCATTGTCCCTATAGTCGTTAGTGTGAACGGTCTCAGCGACCAACATCTATAGTCTCTCGCTAGATGGTTGGGTCATAGGGCAGTACTCCTGGACACAGCGCGCATAGTCAGGCGGTTTCTTTCTCTGCGGCCCTAACCCCGGTAGCTTGGACCTAGCTTCGCTGGTGGTGGCCTTCTAGGTTAGGTTTTTATACTATATTTGTTTTTGTATTTTACTTTTATATCTATTTTATAAAAAACCTAAATATGAAATAAAATAAATGATATTAAATAAAAATAACGTGATCCACCAATCTATACCAACTTTACTTATACAAATTCAAGAGTGTTTCTTCACGCTTAAAACGGTAACGGTAAAGATAACGGTAATAGAGGTAGTTTGACTGCCGGGAAAGAACGTGGGCAGATTTTATTTTCAAAATCCTCCTTAAAGGGAATTGGAAGGATGAATGGAATACCAAATATTCCACGCAGACGAAGTCGCGGTCACCCACTTAGTATTTTAAAATACGAACAAGTTTCTTATGACCTCATCAAGAATTTAATGAAATCACTTTCACAAACGCTTTATGTCATTTACTTACGATTCGAAACATGGCGACTTCCGCGTGCGTGTACATTTATATATGTGTTTGTGCTAATTATTTCTTCTGTTAGGTTTTATATCTGAATAAAATTTGACTTCAATAAGTAGCTGTTAATTGATTCTCAAAGAACGACTACTTTTTCTCGCGAAAATCGAAGTAGGAAGGGTTTCAATCAGGGAATGAAAACTATGCACCAGGATAGGAACTAAAATATTATTATTATACCTAAGAGCATGCTTCCAGCTTTTTGTTAATGTGAAGCAAGCAAGCAGTAACGAGACAAGAGATGTGTCCACACATGGACACATCTCTTGTTTCGTTATTGTGGTGCTTCGGGCCGGAATAGAAATGTAAAATCATCATTTGTAAAAAAACGAGTGTGTGTGAGACCACACGAATGAAGTGAAACTTCTGTAGCTCGATCTGTATGTATGTATGTATATATTTAAATATATATATATATATATATATATATATATATATATATATATATATATATATATATATATATATATGTGTACAATATATACATGTATATACAAGGACATATTTCATTTACTAGATAAGAGAAAGAGAGAAAGGAAATGTGCGCGCGCACTGCTTTCTCTTGCTAATATCCCCCACTCAACTCCCGTTCGCCACGCCCGAACACATTTTTCGTAACACGTAACGTATTTACCAGCTTACCCGCCAAGTCAAGCGTGCGTAAAGAAGTTTCACTTCAATATTACTATGCACATTTGACTTAAATCACTTTTGTGATTGTAGTGGGTATAAATCAGGACAGGGCCGGATTAAGAGTTGTGGAGGTCCTGGGACAACGAAGGTGTGGGTGTGTGTTTTAAAATCTGTAAACCCGGCCCACTTACGATTTGAAATCACCGCCCTGGTTTGGTGAACCGTCGAAATGTAGTTATTTTATATCTCTGTTGTTCTGTTTTTTTATCCCTCCCCTGTAGCACATACTGCCCCTCCTGCCCTGCCTTAAATCCGGCCCTGGCCCAACTTACGTACATCCTCTGCATTGGGCGTAGTCCAATATTTGACCTGGCATTACTTAATACGACAAAATCTCTCATCCTAGTGTTTTATTTCAAGCTTTCCAAAAAATACATAAAATAACACACTATTTCCATATTAATCAACGCCATTGCTTACCCTCATCTTAATGCATTTCTCCATTTCGGCGTCGCTAGTGACACATAACGTCGCCCGTTTTAATGGGCAGTCCCGTATGGTCAAAACTGCTTTTTCTGCTTGCTTTCCCACGAATTCGTTGCTTAAAATATGCTTGGCAGATTGATCTTCTTCCTTCAGCACTAAGAAGTTAACAGTGGCGTCCTAAGAACAAGGACGTTATTGAAAATAAGCAAATATTTAAGCAGTGAAATAGTCAAAGAATGTTGGTGATTCTGATTATTTTCAAAACATCTTCTTAGTAAATTAGTTTGGCGTCTAGATTTATTTTCACATTCATCAACATTATTATTCTGTATTAAATTTCTAATAAAAACAAGAGTAATTTTACAAAAAAAAATGTATTTATATCTGTTATCCTAATATCACATACATACATAAGTCTCACAGTGGTGTCAATTCTGCTATGATTCTCTAAACCTAAACTTAAATTTGACAACAGTCTATCCTTGTCATTCTCTATACAGAGTGAAAAGGAGAGACTGATGTCAAATTTAGTTTTAAGTTTAGAGAATCATGACAGAATCGACACCAACGCTTAGTTTGGGGCTAGTATAATAAGTGTGCATGTAAGAAATAATCAATGCTTAATAAAAATTTGAATACCTGCAATAACAAATCTGTGGTTCCATTGGAATTGAAGAGTTGGAACTGGGATTCGATCGGTTGACCCTTGTTATTCATTCGCTGTTGGTATGGCGAATATGTAGATGACCTATTAATTAAAATGTATGTGTTATGTCTTTGGAAGCCCTCTTTTTTTTAGGTTGTTTTCAGCTGACAACTAATAAGGCGCATAATTATTTTTAAATTATAATACGCTTTCAGAATATTTTCATTTAAGTATGCTGTCTATTATTAAACCATAAATATAATGAAAATATTGGTACTTCGAGCCGGATTCATTAAGTAACATAGATCTAAGTAATATTATTGTTCTGAATTGTTTTGTCATATTGCTTATGTAACTATTGCAATATGCATCTTAATTTAGTAAAAATACAATTTGATCTTGCCTCGCATTGTCTTCATTGTAACTGTTGAAATTATCTCTTCGGTATGGATCATAACGCGGTTTCTCTGTTGTGGAATAAGGATTGCCGTAACCATTGATGGGCTGGTAACTGCTGGTGCGGTTTGACATTTTGTTGTATGGGTTCGGTTCTCCATACAGTTGGACTATCTTTTGGAGCAATCTTTGGTATCTGTAAGAATAAAGGTGTGTAAAAATAACATTAATTTTAGCTCTCAGTTATGGAGGTTGAGAGATCTCAAAACGTAATCATCTCTTCCATATTCATAAAGACACTTTAAGTTGTTAATATAATTCGTATTAGATTCAAGGGGGGGATATACCCTTTTTATTTCAGTTCCGTGAAACATAAGAAATATGTGTTCAGTTATATTTTTTTATCACTCATTCGCTTATAATAAAAAATAATAATAATTCCGTCATACAAGAAAGGGGGCTATCATTGGCCTAAGTAAGTAACAATAATACAATCCAGCCAATGTCAGAAAAGCTTTGTTTTCGTCAGCATTAGCTTGAATAAAGTTTACTCACTTCGCCCGTTTCTCTGAAGATGCGGCACTGCTAGTAACTATAGCGTCGGCGGGCACGCGACCCCAGTTGCATTGTTCCCATTCGGTCACAGCACGACGGGATCCGTCGCGGCATAGCAATTCGAATCTATCTTCGGTTATACCGCCTGAAACAATAGTATTTCAAGTAGTACTGAGGGTAGGAAAAGTATTTATTTTACTTTTCAATATAAAAAATTTCAACATAAAATATGTTTAAATCTATAGAAAATTATACTAAAAAAAATTCACGCAGACCAGGCAGCAGACAGGACGGAACTTTAGATTTAAACATCTAGCAGTTAAATGCTTAAAAATCTAAAATATAATAAAATATGTAGTTAACATATCTTATTCTCTCGCAGTTAAGATTTTCGTATGGAATTTCTTAAAGTTTTGTAAAAATGCCTATGTGATACTAAAAAAGACACATGCATATGATGAACAATCTAACACTTGGTGTGAGAGCGCATGCCGTTCGATTGTATGAAATGTACATATTAGTTTCCATTACATGAATTTGTATCAGCATTACTATTGGAATTGTTGGTTCTGTATGGGCATCTTTAAGGAACATATAATATAAACTTACCAAGTATTTTTCTTGAAAGCAAAGCGTGTTGAATCGTAGTGTCTCTTACAAAAGCAATGTCTCCAGTTCCATTTGCAACAAGGCATTTCAAAGCTCCTTCATAGCCAGCATATGGGTCTGCTAAAGTACATCTGATGCCTGCACCACCATCACACAGTTTACATAACCTTAAAAATAGTTGAGATGAAATTACATCACAGTCATAATGCATTTTATATTTTCCAATCAATAAAGATGACTTACTTGTCTGAATTATCACCAATTGGATTGTACAAATCTTTCAAAGAGTTTGGAGCACATGACTCCCCAAAATATGCTATAGCTGATTTAACATGGTTGTTACAGTCTGTTATTTTGAGACCACCTTCTTGCATCAGCTGTAAAATCAAATGAATTCATGGGAATACTGCATAGGTTTTTAAGTTACAATTGACTGTAATAATGCACCATCTAATTCATGACACATTTTAACTTTTCTCAAGTAGTTATTTTTATATTATTCTTTCTCCTAATAGAATGGATGTAATTTCTCCGAATAGGATGTACTATATCAAATATCTTTTTAGAATTTCAATTCATTAAGACTATTCAATGTATGTATATTAATGTTTTCCTTCTAGGCAGCTAAGATAATAAAATTATGAATCTAGATGGTGTCAAATTGTATTCGTTAAATAACTTACTTTTTTAATTAACTTAAAAACTTAACTTAAAATTTGCACATGATCAAAATAGAACTAAAATATATTTCAGATTATCCTGATGAAAAATTATGTATGACTTTAAAAATTAACATTTTCTAAGGAATTGTTAGGTATACAGAATAGCATTGATATTTCCTGAGTTTCTTCTTACTTACAATATGAATTGGCATAACCCATCCAGCAAGGGCACCCACTCCAGGGAAGCAAGCTTTTGCCCCACGGAGAGCGTGCAGCCCCATTCCTGGCTGAAGATGTGGCAGGCCTCCCTTGTTCATCACTGCCACTGCATACTGATAGGGCTCTCCTCTTCCATATAACTATATACAAATTAAGTATTTATATAAATTTTGCTTAAGGTCAAAATACCTATATAGTAAGAATTTTAGGTTAAGTATCAAGTACAACTAGAAAAATTGTAAAAACAATATGACAATCTTTCTTAAAATAAAATCTGGTCTTGTTCTTTTGTGACTAGTTAACCTCTCACGTCCCTAAGGTCATGCGCCGTTCTTACGTCATCCGTCAACCCTCCGCTGGGTGGGAACGATTGCATTGTTTTGCCGATTTCTCTGTTATTTCGTAAGAATACCCTACACAAACTATATATATTTGAATTCTCCATAAAATTTACTATAAAACAGTGTGTACACAATGCGTCATGTCTATAAACTATTTCAATTACGTTACGGTAAATTCGGGAAAGATAAAAAAAAGGCGTTTAGATCTTAGATTAAAACAAAAAGGGTAGATACGGCACTAGCCTCACAAAAGTGATCCGCATGAATTGTGGTCCACGACCCTAATCGCTTTAGTCACAACTTGACATGCAAACGACGTACATGTGAACGCCAAAAAGAAATATTGCTAATATTTTGTGTTTTTATGATAAAACAATGCCTAAGTGTGTTTTTAAAATAAAGTAAGTGCTCAAATTGCTCAAGAACTAAAAATAAAACCAACTTCATTCGTAAGTACTGCATCACTTTTCATTCGTAAGTACTATAAAATATATTTTTTCATAAAAATTGCTGTTTCTTTTGAATCTTATTCGGTAGTGACGTCGAGTACTGGTCGCGTGATTGGTCGGTAGTGCAGTGACGCGGATCTCGCTGTCTCGTTCGCGCTGCCGCGATGCCGTTGAAACTTAACGTGCTGTTTCGTTCGGGTCGGTAATGCAGTGACGCGGATCTCGCCGTCCCGTTCGCGCTGCCGTGGGATCAGTTTTTGTTTGATGCAAGTATGAGCGTACTGTATCTACCTATTTTTGTTTTAATCTAAGGTTTAGATGGGTAAAATGGAGTATATTTTCAAAATATAAAAATTTCATGTCCAGATTTTTTGGTTATTTGCACATTCTATTATAACTTACCAAATAAAATCATAAAATACCATACTCCCACAATTTAATTTTACACTATAGCTCTCACAATCCACGTGCCAGATGCGTAAACAAACACGCGTTAGAAAAAACAGGCGTCGGGTTTCGAGGAGCCGATAAGGATTAAACGGGCGTCTGAGTGGCTGTTATTTATGTTATGCGATTAGCTCGGAGTATTTAGATAACATTACAACCAAGATTGTAATGAATAATGTTTGTCCATTTTTAAGTTTCAAGATTTTACAACAAGGCATTTAAAAATCGCCTACAAATCAGTCATCTCAGTTTTCTGTCTATAAAACGAAAAGTATTTACAATTTTGATAAACAGTTTCTTTTATCTAAATGTACACGAAATTTGCTTTAGAATAAACAAAAACTAATCACTAGTTCACATACAAGAAAATAATATAAAAAAATATGTCGTTCGTGTATTTGAATTTAGAACGACCGTTTCACCGCGCGGATTTTGTTTTTTTTTTATTTCTTCAAAAATACTCATACTATACTATACTCAAGAGATTCTCTGTATTCGAAATATTAATCATGAATAATTTATTTAATAATTATAAATTAAAACATTACAATTATTATCGAAATTATCACCATGAAAACATAAGCCACAAACCCTTTTTTATTGTTTTTTTTTTCGAGGTCGAGAACCAAAAAATTATTAAAAAAAAACACGTAAACCCGCCAACGAAACATCAAAATAGAGTAACTTAATGTATTTAACTTGCCCAGGGATGGTGTTTTTTTTTAAAAACCACTGAAAAACACTTTAAATAGTCTGAATACACAGCATACAGAAGTGGTATAAGAGGCAAGGCCCATGAGTGGTTTGCCTCATACAGAAAAACAGAGTACAATATGTTCAAATTAATCATCACAATAAACGGACTGGTGAATTGCTACAAATAAATTCTAACTGCACAAGACTAGAAGGTTCTTTACCACAAGGAAGCGTCCTTGGACGTCCATTATTTTTAGTGTACATCAATGATCTCCCTAAAATAGTTAACACTCCTTGTGTTCTATTCGCTGATGGCATTTCATTAATAACTAAATATAACAATTTAGACAAAACACAGGAAGAATTAAAAGTAATATTTCATAAAATTGACAATTGGTTGAATCAACATAACTTACAAATCAATTACTCTAAAACAAAATTAATTGAATTCCGACCCCATCTAAAGTCACCCTTAAAATTAATAATATTGAATAAGAGAAAGTAAGTAGCTGTTTATTGTTAGGACTACAGATAGATTCCCACTTAAATTGGAAAGCACATATAGAGAAAATAAAATCAAAGCTATCACGATTCACATACGCACTCTACGAACTTAAACTAAGTACAAATAAAAAAACGGCAATATCCGCATACTATGCATACGCACACTCATGGTTATCATATGGAATAATTATGTGGGGCAATGGTACAGATGTAGGGGACCTCTTTATACTACAAAAGAAATGTATAAGAATTATTATGAACATAAGTAATATGGATACTTGTAAGCCGCATTTCATCAATCTACAAATTTTGAGCCTTACTTCTATAAACATTTTCGAAATATGTAAGTTTGTAAAAAAATATCCGGAAATTTTTAATAATGCTATAAATAATACGCGTACCCCTGGAACAATAAATTGAATAAATATAAATAAAAAAAAAATGTACAATATAGCAGATTGGCTATGATTGGCTCTGACCATTTTGTAGTGCAATACAGATTTATAATAAACTACCTAATAACTTAAGATCAGAAACAAACATTAGTCAATTTCTAATTAAATTAAAACACTTCCTGCTACAAAAGTGCTATTATTCGTTAAATGAATATTATAATGAGAAATTTAATGTATTTTAACTAAAATTAATAACCTATAAGCATAGCATATTATTGTTTATGTATATATACAGGGTGAAATTGAATGTTTCTATGAAACTTCGTGAGATTGATGGGTTACGTGTATAGGGTATGCCTGATTTTTTTCGGATTTTTTAAAATAATTTTTTTCGTTTTTTAATTTTTTATTTGGTTATTTTTTGTCATTTCTTCCTTATGAGTAATTATTCATTTTAAACACGTCTACATAGAAGTTATAAAGCAACTTAAAATAAGCACTACTAAAAAAACGGAAACTTAATGAATGCCTTCATTATGCCTCCAGTCGAGATCAGCGCCGGTCGGGGCGACGACCGCGGCCGCCTGTCTAGGTACCTACTACACGCACAGATGACTCGGCGCTTACCTACTCTCTGCTTTGATCCACACTATTTAAAAACAATACAATAAAATAGTCTTAGATGCTATATTATAATTATTTATTCACTGATACACAATACCTTTGAATATTATTTCATAAAGCACAGGTAATTAATCAATAAAATAAATCTTCTTAAAATTAAGAGCAAATCGGTATAACTTACGAGCTTAGTGAAGGAAGGAACTCTTCGTGTCTGATTTGCCCACGTCATGAAATTCCGAACACATTTAATCACAGCCACAGTCACACATACACACACACACACACACACACACATAATAATATGTTGTTTTGCGGCAAGCACGGGCGGGCGGCGCGCCGCACGCTGGAAACTAGCGCCGGTTGCGGCGTCTTTGATGATGTGAATTCCGCCCACCTCCCCTCTTCCCCGCACGCGGACGTTTGCTTTGATTGCATGCAAAACGCAGTCGCAAGTATATCAATCGCGCGTGGGCGTGCGCATCTTTTGACTTGGTGACATACACTGTGATAATTTCATTATGCCTCGGTATACAAACCAAGAATATTTAGAGATGGTGTACTGCTATCGCGAGTGTGACGAAGTAGGTTTGGTTTACGAATGAGTCCCCAAACCATAGAAGTTGCATTTTGTGCAGTGAGTAGTGATAGGGACACTTTAAAAAAGGTGAAAAGACACGTCCGCAAACATGCCTACCTTTGTTTGCAGCAAAATGGTGGTTTAGAGCAACAATTTTGCAGATAATAATTTAAGTCTCTTTTTATTGCTAGTGTAAATACTTTTTGATTACAAACAACTAATTGTGTACTACCAGTGTGATTGATTTGATAAAAAGTTCTAGTGAAAAAAATGAATATGTTCCTCGTTCCTCGTTGTACCTACCTATATCGCCGGTCTCGTAAGTACTTTTGAATACCTGGTTATAAATTTCATTCTGACCCAAGTATTAAGCAATAAGTATTTCTTTTTGTTTAATATTTGCCTATTTCCAATCGTGACAAAATTATTATTAACTTTTAAAGTTTTTCTCTGCTTAAGAGAAGATGACATTTGTGCTTATTATTTCAATTTCAATAAAGGCATCTAAGACGATTTTATTGTATTGTGTGGAATCAAACGAGTCAGTTGAGCTCTGTGTTGAGTTAGGTATCTACTCACTCAACGGCTGGCGGGCGCGGTCGGTCGTTGACCCGCGGTGGAATTTCAATGTTTTTCCGTTTTTTAGAAGTGCTTATTTATTAGTTGTTTTTCACTGGATATGTAAGTTTGTTTGTTTAAAATGAATAACTACTCAAAACGAGGAAAGGACATAAAAATACACAAATTATAAATAAATACATGAAAAAAATATACTTCAAAAAAATCCGAAAATAGACAGGCATACTCTATACACATAACCCAACAATCTCACGAAGTTTCATAAAAACATTCAATTTCACCCTATATATATATGTAGGTGTTATTATTTGTATGTATTTTATATAATATATATAATGTTATTTTGTTTTATATTTTGCTGGCACATTACTCTTCTATCTCTGTTAAACTATCCTTCGACTTAAAGGTTGTCTGGAAGAGATCGCTTTCAGCGATAAGACCGCCTTTACCCACCATAGTTGACTATCTGTTTTGTAAACCCTTTAATTGTGTATGTGTGAGTAATAAAGTGTTTATCTATCTATCTATCTAATAATAAGAGTAAAATAATTTGACAATAAATTAATTTAAATTATAAATATAGTAGTAGTAATAAAGAAGTAAAATTAGGAATAATAAATAATCCACTATTTATAATTATATTTATGGAATGTCCGTTGCACGCTAATACAATTTACTTTGATATGCCCAAATGGGTAACATAATTCGGTCGATTATATTTTATACCTACCAGATGGTACCAGTTGTACAATTTTTTTTTAATAATAATAATTTAGAGATGGTGTACTGCTATCGCGAGTGTGACGAAGTAGGTTTGGTTTACGAATGAGTCCCCAAACCATAGAAGTTGCATTTTGTGCAGTGAGTAGTGATAGGGACACTTTAAAAAAGGTGAAAAAACACGTCCGCAAACATGCCTACCTTTGTTTGCAGCAAAATGGTGGTTTAGAGCAACAATTTTGCAGATAATAATTTAAGTCTCTTTTTATTGCTAGTGTAAATACTTTTTGATTAGAAACAACTAATTGTGTACTACCAGTGTGATTGATTTGATAAAAAGTTCTAGTGAAAAAAATGAATATGTTCCTCGTTCCTCGTTGTACCTACCTATATCGCCGGTCTCGTAAGTACTTTTGAATACCTGGTTATAAATTTCATTCTGACCCAAGTATTAAGCAATAAGTATTTCTTTTTGTTTAATATTTGCCTATTTCCAATCGTGACAAAATTATTATTAACTTTTAAAGTTTTTCTCTGCTTAAGAGAAGATGACATTTGTGCTTATTATTTCAATTTCAATAAAGGCATCTAAGACGATTTTATTGTATTGTGTGGAATCAAACGAGTCAGTTGAGCTCTGTGTTGAGTTAGGTATCTACTCACTCAACGGCTGGCGGGCGCGGTCGGTCGTTGACCCGCGGTGGAATTTCAATGTTTTTCCGTTTTTTAGAAGTGCTTATTTATTAGTTGTTTTTCACTGGATATGTAAGTTTGTTTGTTTAAAATGAATAACTACTCAAAACGAGGAAAGGACATAAAAATACACAAATTATAAATAAATACATGAAAAAAATATACTTCAAAAAAATCCGAAAATAGACAGGCATACTCTATACACATAACCCAACAATCTCACGAAGTTTCATAAAAACATTCAATTTCACCCTATATATATATATGTAGGTGTTATTATTTGTATGTATTTTATATAATATATATAATGTTATTTTGTTTTATATTTTGCTGGCACATTACTCTTCTATCTCTGTTAAACTATCCTTCGGCTTAAAGGTTGTCTGGAAGAGATCGCTTTCAGCGATAAGACCGCCTTTACCCACCATAGTTGACTATCTGTTTTGTAAACCCTTTAATTGTGTATGTGTGAGTAATAAAGTGTTTATCTATCTATCTATCTAATAATAAGAGTAAAATAATTTGACAATAAATTAATTTAAATTATAAATATAGTAGTAGTAATAAAGAAGTAAAATTAGGAATAATAAATAATCCACTATTTATAATTATATTTATGGAATGTCCGTTGCACGCTAATACAATTTACTTTGATATGCCCAAATGGGTAACATAATTCGGTCGATTATATTTTATACCTACCAGATGGTACCAGTTGTACAATTATGATATACAATAAATGTTTGACTTTGACATATTTTTTTTCATACAAAAAACAGCAAATGACGAACTTCCACAGTCAACAGTATAAATATTTCATATGGCAGTTGACTTAATCAATGGCTAGATAGCTAGCCTGTTCTTTCCTCTACAAATTGATATAAGAATGTAGGTGATAGCAAAAAGAATGAATCTTATATTTTCCATAGTATAAGTGGGGTCGCGCGGAACCGAATGTCGGCCCCTCAGCACTATACCGTTTTTTGACAGTGACCTAAATATGGCCGCTCAGCACTTTAGAGGTTAAGAATTAACTAGTTTAATTATTATATTGAAAATAAACATACCTCTTGTAAAATTGGAACAAGCGAGTGGTATCTGCCTGCAACATATACTTCCCCAGCATCAAGGCCCAGTAAAGTAGCTTCACCTCTATCTACCCAGTTCATACATTCTTCTGAATCAAATGCCTGAAAATATAACTCCTGTATTTATACTGTACAAAGACAATGCCGTTAAGTGATAATAATCTATATGTTAATATTTAAAGTATGTGCTGCCAAGGTTAATGTTAAGCATTACTATGCAGCAGCAAAAGATTTTCTTTTAAAACTTTAAACAAATTACCCTTACCCTTTTGCATTGTAATTCAATGTAGTCATTGCCAAATAGACCCTTGTCCTGCATTGAGTATTTCATTAACATTTCACATTTTTCTTGTGCCAATATTGAAGTTGTACACCAAGTTATCACTTCTTCTCCTTCTACTTTAGGGTTTTTCGATAGACTATTCACTGACTCACTGCCATAAAAGTTACAATATGCAGAGGCTGAAAAATAAGTGCTTTTTTGTATGATAAAAGAACTAGAGTAAAATTGGGACTGTTTAAGTTCTGCCTGTAAGACTGTTTTGAAAAATTACATAGAACTTATGCATGCATGCATACAGCCGACTACAGCATCACAACAGAAGTATAGAATTGTTTACCGAAATACTTACAAGTTAACATCAAAAGAAGAACGAAAAGGTAGACCGACTCCATAACTTATTATATTCTTTACAACATCACCGTATACTAGAAAATTTAAGGGTAGGTATTTTTTTATAATATTTTCAGTTTTCTTGTTTGTTCTGAGCTGGGGAACCAAACACCGACCGAAACACCACACTATAGATTACTTGCTCGCTCAGTGCACCAACCACACCCCGGGCCGGGCTGCGTTCAAAATTCCAAACCCACCCATTCTCCAGGAGCAATAAATGTCAGTCAATAAATAATGCTATAAATTTTCAAAGATTTTATGTCAAAATTTAACCGTCAAGACCTAGCTTCTTGGTCAAGACTTAAATGTTGCAAACTCAGAGCGTAGGTTTGGAACGTATTGGGATCCGCCGGGCCAGGGCTGCGTTTCAAACATGTGCCAAACCTACACCACAGATTACATAGCGTCTTCATAAGCTTCACCCTTTCATCTTAGTTTTGGAACGTGTTGATTATGACGTTTTGATTTCGGATCGGAATCGGATTGACTGACTTTGACGTTTTATTTTCGGATTTACGAATTTCGTAGTAATTTTTCGGCGAGATTTAAAGTCCCCTATTTCAGTTATCAAAAACCCTCAAAATCTAAAAAAATAACAAATTAATACGTTTTTAATCTCCGATTTAAACGTGCTGCAATAGTTTTGCATTAATTTCTCGAATTTGAAGCAATTTCAGAAAATTATTTAGTTCATCCACGTGCTTTATTGTATCGGAATGGTAGTATTTACTTGCGGACACTGTGGGGAGTCGGTGCAGAAGCCTAAAGTTGAAAAACACTATTTAACAAAATGTAGAAATCGTAATCCCAATTTATCTTGTATGGATTGTTTTAAAGATTTCTTGTAAGTATTAAAAAGGTTTTTAAATTGTAGAATAATTCATATTTTATTTATTAGACGTTATTCACATCATTCAATTAGATCTAGGCCAAAGTAGGTGTGGCCTTTGTTTTTATTATTTAAATTGGGTTTTAAGCTCTGAGGTTAAAGGGTGCTGCAAATTATTTTATTTGATCTCATGCTTTAAATACTTTACAAAAGATTGTGAAACAGCTTAGACACTGACCCAACTTTAAAACAACCAACAGGTGATATAATGTACTAAAGTTCATAGTAACAAATACCTGCATTTCTATCCCATCTACACACAGGGTTTACTCATCAGACAGCCACATTCTTACTGCTTGATGTGTGGTATTTGTGTTAGCAAAAAAAAAATAATTGTCTGAAGGGAAAGGATTGCCACATTTTCTTACAATCTTTCCTCCCATTCTCTGATTAACACAAAAGTGTTTCAGGATTGAAATTGTTAAACAAATGCAAAATGGACTGCGTGGAAAGAAATTCTTAGTGCCAGCATTCTTGACATGTACTATTATATATTGCTTACTGATAATTTCCAAAAAACCTGACTCATTTATACTACTTTTAAATAGTTTTTGCTAAGAAAATTATTACTTACTCCATTATAACATTAAAGTCATCGAAATAGTCTAATGTTAATGGAGGTTTTTGTTGATTTATTATTAAGAGAGACAAACTTATTAGCAATCCATGTATTCACCATGCGGGTGCCGTGTGTATCGTGTGGGAGAGAGAAACTCTGAGCAGTTCCCGGGACTTTCGACCCAGGTGTAGGTTTAAAGAGGCCCCCTTTAAGATGCACATCAACGCTCACCTTCGCTGCCCGCCCTTTCTAGGCAAATTTGATAGGAGCCTTTTAGTGCAGCATTAGTTACTTGTTTCAAAATTGAACTTACTGCAGTTCTCAACTACTTTCAGAAGGTTATAGAGAGATTTTGCTAGTATACCTCTTGCTTCTGCTTCTACCGCATAGAAACTAGATAGCCATTTTTAGTTAGTTCATTGGTTAGATCGTAATATTTATTCAATTTTATTGTGTGGTTGTTAAGAATGTTAGTTTCCCATGGTATAGTAAGCTCTATTAGTACTATATGTTTGATGTGCCTGGAAAAGAGGAATATGTCTTTCTTTGTTCTTTCCCCCAACTTACTAGGTTACTCTGGTCTGGGAGAGCATTGAGATAGAATTTTAGTAGAGCATGATCATGTAGTAATGTGCGCCACTTCAGAGCTAATGAAATGCAGAACTCACCTTTGGCTAACTCAATTTGCATTACCAAATTCATTTTCTTCGCAATAAAGCTGCCACCTGGACGTCCTAATTAGGGACTTATTAGTATAATACGATAAAATAAATATTACTATGTTTCATCCAATATATTGAAAGTCAGCAACCTTTCCAATTTTATTGTATTCGTCTTACGAATTTTCGATTAGGTCACGTGTCCCGACGCGATCAGGCCACGTGTCCTGCCGCGGGTTTAAAAGTGTACAACGCCGCTAAAGAAGGGTTCACCTCAAAAAGAACCTTTAATACATACTGAATGATTTTGATTTTGGTTAGTCTATAATCTGATTACTGATTTAAATCTTAAGTGATAGCCATAGCAATCCCGTTAGGCGATTGTCCCCTGGAATGAGTCAAATGACACACAATCTTATCTTGGAAAAAAAATATAGATAAAACTAAGAAAAAAATACTAACTCATTTATTTTTTTCATTTCAGTGGCCAAGACTATGAAAGTCACATCAAATGTATAACAGAAGAGGAGAGGTACTCTGGCAAGGGATTTACTGCTAAAGAGAAAAAAGGAGAAAAGAAGCAAACTGCCTGGGTGGAAATGTTGCAGTCTGTATTGGACGAACAGAGAAATGCCCCTGCCAATGTCCTGAAAATTGTAGAAACTATAAGTAAGCATAATAACACACCTAGAAAGAAGCCAAAGTTTTTCAACTTTGTTAAAAATGTGTGTGGACAAAAGACAAGTCCCAAAGATATTGATCAAGCTTGGGATTTGATTTCAGTAAAGTTATCAGCTCTAACAACTAATGGAAATCAAAATAAAAATAAAGATTCCTCTGACCATGACCAAGCAACTAATGGTGATGCAAAGGAGAAATCAAAAAATGGTGAGGTTAATGGTAATGGTGTAGAAAATGATGATAAATGTGAAAGTGTAAATGGGAAACAAGAATCTGATGAAACAGAGAATGCAGCAGGGAATCCAGATAAAGAAAACATAGAATCTGGAAAAGTAAATGACAAAAAGTTGTCAAAAAAACAACGCAAAGAAGAGAAAAAGCGATTAAAATATGAAGCTGAGTTGCAGAGTGCTGAGGCTCCACTAGCCACTGCAGAAGAAGAAGAAGGAGCCGATGCTGCCAATAAAAAAGGGAAAAAGAAGAAGAATAGGACTGAGTCAGCTGCTAAAGATGATGATAATAACCCAACTGACAGCAAAAATAAGCATAAGAAAAGGAAGCGACAAGATACTACAAGCAGTGCTGTTGAAGTTGCTGTGATCCATTTAGACAATGCTGAAACTCTTCCTGTTACTGCCGAAAAAACACAGAAAAAGAAATTGAAAGTTGATGAAATAGCCACAGAGGATAGTATCTGTCTTCATGATCAGAATGTTGCTAAGTCTGAAGAAGTAGAAGAGGTGGGAATCAGAAACGAAAAATTCGATTGGCATGAAGTCATTTTGTCTGTCTTGGAGAAGAAAGGTAATGAGCTGCCATTTAAGCGTTTGCAGAAGAAAGTTCTCTCTGAATACACAGAAATGACAGGGAGAGAAGTGGATGACAGAATTGCTGATAAATTTATAAAGAAGTTAAAGAGTGCACCTAAAGTAAAAGTTGATAAAAATAGAGTCTTCTTGGAGGAATGAATGTAAACTTCCAATAGTTTTCATGACAAGATTATGTCATTTTTATAATGAATTAGTTGTAGGAAACTTAATTTGCAACATAATAATATGCTGGCTGTTTAGGTTTTCCATTTTGTGTTTATAATATAATTGCATTTATTATCTCTGTGAAAAATATTCTGTTGCCTCTTTTTACATGATAAAATGAATGGTAACAGAAAAAAATAAATAAAAAGATGATGTACTGAAGTGTTATGTTAATATTATTTCACTGTTAGATAAGAGTTTCTTAAATTTCCTGAATGGGTACTACAAATTTAGGGCTTTTACATTTTGCATAGAGTTTTGAAGCATATTGCATAAATGTGTGAACTTTGACTCCACTGTGCAATTTGTAAAAGTAGTATACTTGGAAGTTCAGGATATACCTTAGGAGGTACCTACATTCCGCACCTACACTCCAGGTGCAACTTATAATCAAATTTTACATGAGTGTCATACATTTTATATCAAAATCGAAACATCAGAGTAAATAGTCATGCAACTTTTCACTCTGGTGGGGTGTAGCAACCTACAGTCTGGATCATCTGGATGCCCAGATGATCGGGACTGTAGGTTGCTACACTGTAAATAGGTTTTAGTAATTAAAAAATAAAAATTTAATCAAATAACTTAAAAACTAAAATCTACATAAAGATAAAAAAGAAGCTCAAGGTACAGACACGACAGTAGGGTTCTTTTGTCTTATGTCGTCATCTGTAATATTATATTGTTTAGCAACAGGTAGGGTACAGTTTCTTAAACTGTAATTATTTTTCGGCGGGGATAGGGAAAATCGATACCGAAACCTTTGGATACGTACATTGGATAATCCACGGAGATAATCCACGGATGACCGCGTAATCTTAACAATATGATAATGAAATGGATGAATTTCATCAAATTGGGACTTAGGCACAACCAATTCTTTAAACTAAGAAAAATGAATTACATTGTAATACAATTTACTAACTTAAATATACCTTCAATCCAATAAAATATGCTTTCTTTTAAAAAGTATCTTTATCTTTAAAAAGTATTTAGAAAATATTTATTAAAAGTATATAGAAAATTGTTTCTAGTATTTCAAATACTTTTTCCAAAGGTATGTTGTATCTGTTTCCAAATACTTAAGTACCTAGTCTCTTGTATTTTGTGTTTTAGATACTTTTTGTAGGGTATCCTTTACATTTCTGTCTATGTCACTATTAATGTTTTCTTCTAAGGATTTTTTAATAGGTAAGTCATTTTCTTTCACCAAAATTGAACGACTATTACTCTTAAACTAAAAAATCTATCTTAACCATTATAGTTTTTCTTGAAAGTTTATGAAAAGCACTGTTATCATGAATTTTTCCAGGTTTTTCAAGCCAATAGCTTAGCTTTTAGAGGGGGGATGGAAGCCCTGCTCAAACAAAAATTAGGACTTTAAAGTTCAATATTTCGCAAACGGATCCTTAAATCTAAAACTAGTCCTAGGAACCCCTAAGTATTTTAAAGGACCTATTCAACGATATCCCACACAATGGGGTAGATGATGAAAAAAATCATACCCAGGTTACATGTAAGTAGGAGATCTACACTAAAAAATATTTTTCAAAATTTTCTTCTATCATTTTGTCGGCGCTATCGATATACATATCTCCACAAAATTATTGCTCTCTAGTGCTAATAGTCTCTAAGCAAAACTGGGGACGGGCAGACGGACATGATGAAACTATAAGGGTTCACGGAACCCTAAAAACCCTAATCTACTGAGATATCTCCACTGGTCGCTACCAGTTGGGATATATGGAACTTTCTATTCCATATATCCCTACTGATCCTCACTGGTAGGGATAATTGGATTTTATTTTCCATTTATCGCTACCAGAGGGGATAAGTTTTCAAAGAGTCTTAATATGATTTACTAAGTGTTCCTGAAATTCTTGTGATTGTAAAGCTTTTTTTTATAAATGTGTTTCTGATGTTTCATTGACCCAGAAAACAATAAAATTGTAATTATAATATTATATTAATTTTTATTTTAACACAGATGAAATAATTTTGCTGAAACATGGCATTTCAAAATAGATGAAAAATCTTATTAAAAAATTCAGTTTACACGGATTGCTAGTAAAAAGCTCGGAGGAGCTCGATGGCGCGAGTGGTAAGCGCGTTCGTTGAAGTTATGCAACTTTCGCAATAGTCGGTCATTGCATGGGTGGTGATCGAGCTCCTCCGTGCTTCGGGAATATCCGGTTGCGATAATTGGAAGAAAAACTCCAAGTATCCTTACTAGTCGAGATATGTCAGTAAGGATATATGGAACAGGTTATCAAAAGTACTTGAGATACCCAATTACTTACTTAAAAATTATTAATTAAGTACGTTTAAAATAAATCATATTTGTTTTTAACGTTTTTAATGAAGCCCAGAGTCTCAAACTCTGTCTTTATTCAGCCCGCCATACCCACTCCACGACTATTGAAACCCAAGCTGTGTTTATTATTCGCAAACACTAAACCAAACAATAAATCTAACTTTACGTAGATAGTTAATAGAAGATCCTTACAACGCAATCTTTATTAGGAGCAATATAACGAGATATCACCCAAAGTCATGTCGGGTGATACCCAAATAGCCATTTGGTTAACTCATTCCAACACAGCAAGGCGCCATATACGGAATATTATAACATTCGCCTTCTAATAACATTTACGACATGCAGGCGCAATATGGGTGATATTAACCCGTTTTATATGATGTACAGGCCATTCGACAAGTCGTTAACCATAAACAAGCCATGAATGGGCTATACATATATGAATATTCGTGGTGAACCCTAAAAGGAACAAACGGTCCTATGTAAGAAACTACTACCTATCACAGATGTTTTTCTTTCTTATTATTTATTGTAATGACGTATCTATGGAGAAGTATTTTATTGCTCAAATTTTTGCCGACTAAAAAGAAAGCTAGATAACGCTTAAGACCTGTAAGTATAATTTTACTGTTTATTATTTAGTTTTAAACTTTACAGTTTGTGAAATAGTTTAAACACATAGAAAGACTTACTTCTTGCCTGGCCCCCTTGTCTTTTGAAGCGATTGTGTTAGCGATTTATACAGGGTCAGATTTAGAGTTAGTCCTGGGGCAACGAAGGAATGGGATTGGATGGATTTGCACTTCCACCGCTGGTTGATGACCCGTCGAAATTAAGTTATTTTTTATCTCTTTTGTGGGGGTCCCTGGGTAACAGCCCCACCTGCCCTGTCGTAAATCAGGTCCTTGATTTATATCACACAAAGAAAGCGTTCCACTAACTCGTTTCCTAGATCAGGGGCCCAAGCACGAATTTTAACAGCCGTTATCGTAACGTATCGTCAAAGTTACTATGAAAACTAAGCAGGATCACCCCTACCGTACATAGGAACAAAAGTAAAAGCTCGTGTTTGGGCCTTGGACAGGGTTACCAACTCTTTTTGTATCAAATATAGGTAGTATTTTCGAAGCTTTACTTCTAAAATATAGAAGCTGGCAAAAAATAAAAAAAATATAGTACCTATGTGGTTAAAATATTTACTTTATTTTTGAAATTAATATATTTTTGCTGCTCTTTGCCTTACTAATAATACAATAATAATTTCTAATAATTTTAAAGAAAACTTTTACTCTCAAAAATATACTTTAAGCAAAATATAGTAGTTTCGCCTACTATATATTTTGATTAGAAATATAGTATTTGATCCCCTAATATAGTAGGATACTATATTATATAGTGGGGTTGGCAACCCTAGCCTTGGACCTCAGTATAGTGTAGCTTAAATACAATCTGTCATCAACATCAGGACCATGAACGATGCAAGCTTCGCTCAACAATACTAGCATTGTCAGTCGAAGGATACAAGTCAACAAGTCAATCGTCTCAATACCGCCTATAAATTGAAACGTGCTGAAATCTGAAATTTAATTGGATAATAATAGAAGCGTAGAGAGTTCACTTTATTATAACATTATTTAACACTAACATGATGTTAAAGTTAATGCTGGCACTTCGCGTCGCTATTTGTATTTGCTGATTGTGATTTTCAACTTTTCATTCCTTATTGAGTATCTAGGTATCATGGATTAACCGTATTAAGAACTACAACTCAATACTCAATGTTTTATTGTTTTCCATAATGTATACAATATGTTACAAAAAATTAATATGTACAATCATGGACCCTGTCGGGCACAAAAATCAATTAATTACAGAGGGAGAATGACACCTATGATTACATAAAAACGCTAATAACTGCTATAACGACTATTACAATTCAGAATTTATATTACATATTTACAATAAATTAAAATAAGTATTAAATTTCATTTGATTCTATAAAATCACGTATAATAACAATAATTATGTGTATAGTAATTCATTCAATTGATAAAAAGTTGATACTGGGCCCAATTCTGGCGTGATTCTCTAAACTTAAAACTAAATTTAACATCAGTCTCTCCTTTTCATTCTGTATAGAGAATGACAAGGATATACTGCTGTCAAATTTAAGTTTAGGTTTAGAGAATCATGCTAGAATCGACACCACTGTCCAATTATTAATTAAGGTTATATAAAAACAAAACACTATATTGGTGTCGATTCTAGCATGATTCTCTAAACCTAAACTTAAATTTGACAGCAGTATATCCTTGTCGTTCTCTATACAGAATGAAAAGGAGAGACTGATGTTAAATTTAGTTTTAAGTTTAGAGAATCACGCCAGAATTGGCATCAGTGTCAATTATGTGAATAAATTAAATTATTTGAATATTCATTAACACTATCATCACATTTTAACATTTCAAATTCATTTGATAACTAAAAATAACATTTATTAAAATCAAAATAAAATAAAATCAACACATTATATAATTTTCAATTGTATAAATAACTTCAAATCATTTAAATGTTCATTTACACTGTAATAACATTTATTAATCAATAGAGTTTTTAAACGTTTCAAAAATATACTTTCTGTAGAATCGTTTTTTATTTGGTCAGGCAACTTATTGTAAATCTTTATGGACTTGA